ATTCGGACCGTTCATGTACGCGAGATCGATCCTAAGTCGTTCGATCGCGGAGCACGCGGATTGCCAGCGTGGCTTCTCGCGTGGCACCGACGTCAGCACGTCTTGCCACGTGGCGCACTCCGGTTCGTCAGAACTGCTGACTAGGCAGTCATACGTGGTCGAACTTTCTTTATTTGCACTTTAACTCCCTGTTTCTATTTTTTTTTTCAAAAACATCACCAGAACCTAAATTTTCACCATTTTTTTCCAAAATTATTTTCAGTCTCGTCCCCTGATTCATTTTTTTTTTCAAAATTCTACTTAGATAAAAATAAAATAAATTAATAAATAATTTTTAAATTAATAATTAAAAAATAAAAATTTTGTCTTGGGTCATTCTTTCGATCCAGATATTACAGTAAATCTAGGTCGTTGAATTGATTGGCACGCGGATTACCCGCGTGGAATGCTTACTGACATGTCTTCCATGCGGTGCACGACGACTAGTCATGCTGCTGACGTGGGTCCTATATGACCATTTTTTTTTTAATTTTGCACTTTAGCCCCAGTTTTCAAAATTTCATTTTAAACGGGTCATTTCTTATTTTCAGTATGACTAATTCTTTTTAAATTATTTTCAAATACATTCAAAATGCATATTTGTTCAAAAATTCTAAAAAAAAATTAAAACTAAAAATTTCTAAAATTATTATTAATATAAATTTTATCGTCCCGAGCTTAAATCCTGACTCCAGGTGTTACAATTTATATATTTATTATTTTAATTTTTAGTATTAAAAATTAAAGACTAAATAAGATATTATTCAATGCTCACTCATAATTTAAACTCATGGTTAATAATTTTTTTTATGAGACATATACTATCATAATATTTGATCATATACTCTTTTAAATATAATTTGTAATTATGATTAACAAAAATATTAAAGATTTGAATGATAAGAATTGTGATATCTTACTATGTGAAGATAACAAAAAATAATAATTTAAGCAATGTAGATTCTACCACATTATTTCATACAAAACAAAAATGTATTAACATATAAACTTACTAATTACTAATAAATTGAATTGAAAAAAGAAATAAATGTTTTGGATTAAAAAAGAGATTGTTGGGTCAATAACGCATGACGTTGCAGCGTTGCAATTTCTAAGTATTTCCAAAAATAATAAATAGAAAATTAATCCATTTTTTCTTTACAATTTTTAACAATCTTGATAAATTAGCCTGAGTTTTATATGTTTTTATTATCGTATTTTTTTATTTCTTTTTCAAAGATTTTGATATTTACATTATTAAGTATTTCAAAAATGATAAACAGAAAATTCACCAAAATTATTTTAAAATTTATTTATTTTTTACAATTTTTAACAATCTTATAAATTAAGTCTAAGTTTTACATTTTTTAACACAATTTAATCATTACATTTTATATACATTTCAAAGATCAAATTTACACATATTTTATGGTTTAAAAAATTAAACTAATTAAATAACCATTGGATATTTTAAAAAATAACTCATTTTAAATTTGAAGATAATTAAAAAATTCAAAAAAAAAAATAGTTCATATTTGTTAGAAATCGAGTCAAACTAGATCTGAAAAATAATAAGTAAACTCGTACTGAATTAAAGAGTATAAACACGAAAGTATACATGAATTCATAACGAAAAAAATCTTTGTATCATGCAGTAGATTTTTCAAATCAACATGTAATTGTAAATGTGGTAGTTTGAAAATATATCCGAGTTAATTATGATGTTTGATATATTTAATTTAGCATTTATATATGTTTGGAAATATATAATAAAGTTAAGAATATAGTTTAAAGTTAGATGAAAAAATGATAGATAATGATGAATGAGTTAGAATAAGCATGAAAATACATGAAAAAATGTGAGAACCTTTTAAATGAAGTTGTATAATGAAAAATGATAATTTTTAGATAAAATAATATAACAGAAAGTGACAATTTTTAGATGAAATGACATGTGAAAATTGATAACCTTTTAAATGAAATGACATGTGAAAATTAGTAACATTTTAAATGAAGTGACATGTGAAAAGTGGTAACTTTTTAGATGAAATGACATGATGAAAGGTGACAACTTTTGAATAAAGTGACATGATAGAATAGTGACAACCTTTCTCTCGTGAGTTCTCACTCCTATAAATAGGGGATGAGAGAAGGGAGAAAGAAATATTTGAGATAAGAGAAAAATAGTAAGAAGCATATATGTAAAAGAAGAAGAGAAAGTACAAAATATGTGATTTTTAAGAGTATTTTGATATTTTAAATAAAAATTTTGGAAAAACTCTACTAAATTAGTGAAAGTAAAAAAAGAGTAAGAAAACTCACGATCAAAAGGAGGTTATAAACTATTAAAAATATAAGCTTTTTCTTAAGTTTTGAAGTTCAGTTTCTCTTTAATTTTTGTTATTAGTTTTTTAGTATTGTATTGATATTTTTGAGTCAAGAAAGTGACAAAAAATCATCTTGAAACTCTGTCGAATTTTTAAGAGAAAATAACGTAAATAAAACCGGAACTCTGCTGAAATTAAGATTACGACTGCTAAGAAGTTAAGGTAAGTGGATATTATGTATTCATAGTTTGTGTAGTTTTGAAGTATTTTACGTATTTTCAGTATAAAAATGTGCAAATATTTAATTTATTTTTCGTATTTACTAAGTAAATATTCATTAAAATTTTACTTTGATATAAGTATTATTTGGTTTTGTATTTTTGAAATGTGATTTTGATATATATGCATAACTTATTATGAAAAGAAGTTGTTCTGGAAGTACCTGCATTATGTTAGACTTCAATATGGGCATACATAATGTTTCGTGTTTGCGTGTATTAGCAAAGTGATAAGTGTGTACCTATATATAACTGTTCTGTATTTGGGTGTATGAGAAAATAATCTTATCCGTGTGCCCTAACTATTTCGTGTTCGGGGGTAGCAATGTTTTAAGGTACTAATGTATGTCATTTCGTGTTTGGTTACATGGGCAATCAATGATAAGTATCTGTGT